GAGACGGTGAGGATCTGTCCAAATCCTCAAAAGACCTTCCGCTTTGGAGATGGAAAGCAGTTGTCAGCTATGAGCTACGTGGAGTTGCCCCAGAGACTTCAGCAGCGAGAGATCTCCTTCAGTGTGTACTCGCTAGATGTTCCGCGGGTCCCCATCTTGATGAGCATCCGCACCCTCAAGAAGCTGGGGGCGATCGTGAATTTTGGTGAGAGGACCGTCTGTTTTCACAAGATAGACAAAACCATCTTCATTCCCCTCACCGAGACCCGTTCAGGTCACTTTTTGATCGATCTCACCAAGGACTGGCTGAATGCAGCCGGGAGCTGTGAGGGCCGCAAGGATCGGCCGTCTTTTGCATTGACTTCCTCCCACTGTGGTGAGCAATACATGAGTGCTGAGATTGATCGCTGTGAAGGGGACCAGTGCTTATCTTCTACATGTTTTCCTGAGCATGACATGTCAGACAAGACCGCAGTTCCAGTGTATGATCTCTCATCCCCTGAGCTGGATCGACCGGTTGAGGAATGTGATGAATGTTCGCAGATGGGTTCAGCAATAGCTAGACCGACTTCCCAATTCGCTTTTGCCCTCGCCTGTGGAGTTCATGGCGCAGCGGCGATCCCCGGCCAAGGAGACCTTAGCGGAAGCTTCCTCGGACACCATGGAGAAGAAGAAGGGCTACAAGGACAAGGCCAAGATTCCCGAGGAAGAGCGCTACGACTTCTCGAGGCAGGATCGAGGGTCCGGATCCGAGAGACGGACGCACAGCTGGGGCTCCATGTTACGGGGAGCACCAGATCATGAAGCCAGGACGCGGGAGCCTCTCTGGGTCCAACGCTCACGGATGGTGGAGAGTGTGCGAACGGTGCCGACTGAGGGTGGCCTATGCACCAGCGTGGGGTGCTCACGGACACTTTCGCCAGGCAGGGCCCCTCAACGCAGATGTGAAAAAGGTGGTGCTGGAGGTCACCGAGAAGGAGAAGGCTGGGGAGACGGTGGACCGCAACGTCCTCAATGCCAAGAACGTGGCCTTGGACGGGGCGGAGAAGTCTCTCATCGACAAGCTGAGCAAGGTCCGAGCCGAGAAGGAGAAGTGTCTGGCGAAGTCCAAGGGAGCTCAGGCGAAGTCGAAGGCCAACCCAACAACTCCTACGGAGGCACCTGCTACACCGTCCACACTGGACCTGACTCGCGACCAGGCGATGAATGTGACTCCGGGCCGGAAGAAGCAGCGCGAAAATGCGATCGCGGCGGAGGAGCACGAGTATCAGTCCCGGGACGACAGCTGGTCGTCAGTGGAGCTGATTCCCAAGGAGTGAAGGACGAGTTCATGACCCAGCGGGAGAAGGAGGACATTGAGGACATCGCCGAGCGCCTGATCCTGGACGAGAGGTACGAGGATGCTGATTGCCTTGAGTTCATCGAACTCATGCTGGAGGCCAACCAAGAAAACTCCAGTAGAGGCGTTCTAAATGGAGAAGGCAAGAAGGAGTACCTGTGTTTCGGCCTCTACGCGTTCGGCAACCACCACGGCGTGACTAACCGCACTCACCGTCTCAGTAAGGCTGTGCAGTACCTCAACAACTTCCTCCTCAGGCGTATGCCCGACCACCGATGGACCAGCCTGGTAATCTCCAACAACAACCTCCTCCCGATGCACAAGGACAACCACAATGTCGGTTGGAACGCTTTGTATGGTCTGGGAAACTACTCAGGTGGAGGTTTGTGGCAGGAGACTGGACCAGAGTGGGACCCCGGTGGGAGAGCAGTTCACTGGCGTCCAGATGGAAATGGAGTCCTTCGACCAGGGGTGATTCATGAATCGAAAGGCACCCCCGTCTACTTTCCTCCAAAGGTGAATCATGCCACCGAGCCCTGGACGGGCAACCGAATCCTCATCACTGCATGGACAAGCCGAGGCCTACCGGAATGTGATCCAAAGGACCGGAGGATGCTTCGACGATTGCGGTTCCCATGTCCTTTGAAGAGCGAAGTACAGTGTTTTACGAGTGCCTGTCCATGCGGGTGCATCCTGGCTGAGGAAGATGAAGAGGGCATGCTTACGGTGGAGCGAACGACTCCGATAGATGTCAAGGAGAACTTGGAGGAGATCCTTATAGCCGCTCAAGAAGAACTGCGTGAACAGGCCACCTCCCTTCCCCAGGTGAAGAAGTACGACCTTGACCTGCTTTGCCTGGGAGGCCAGAAGCCAAGTTACTTGAGCGAGTGGATTGCGGGGAATGAAGG